GGTATGTTAAAATTCTTTCCAGTTTCTGGTACCAATCTTCCCATCAGTTTATATAAAATCTTATCTTTTTGTTTACCCTTCATTCATTCATAAAATACTCAATGAATTTGAGGAAACATTGGTGAGCAATCCAGACATAATCCTTGATATTCCAAGTAGTCATTGAGGTGGGATGAAAGTAGGGGTAGAGAAAGATAATATAACTAATTAAAAATCAGTTTTATGATGGGCATGGTGGTGCCTGCCTGTAATCCAGCAGATCTGGCTGGAGGCTGAGGCAGGAGGATCACAAATTCAAAGCCAGGCTCAGTAGCTTAAGTGTGTCCTTGAGCAACTTAGTGAGACCCTGTCTCAAAAATAAAAAATAAAAAGGGCTAGGGATGTGGCTCAGTGGTTAAGCACCCATGGGTTCAATTCCCAGTATCCAAAAAAAAAAAAAGGCGGTTTTATGGATTCCAAATGTAAGTTTACAAAGGAGGTGCCAAAAGATATTGGGTGGAGACCTTATCTATTTTTCTCTTGCCTTATTCAAAATCTGATTGGAACAGTTAAGAGATCTTTTTTTTGAGGGGGGTGGTGGTACCTGGGATTGAACTCAGGGGCACTCAACCACTGAGACACATCCCCAGCCCTATTTTGTATTTTATTTAGAGAAGGGGTCTCACTGAGTTGCTGAGGCTGGCTTTGAACTCGTGATCCTCAGCCTCTTTTGAGCCACTGGGATTATAGACATGCGCTACTGCGCCCAGCCTTGTTTTACTATATAGTGAAAACTCAAATCAGTTCCACAGCTTTGGGTTTATGCTGAATTCATTGAGGTTAACTCAGAACTGGTTATTTTCCAAAGAACTTAAGGCTATAGAGCAAATAAAAGATAGCAAAACATCTAATATTACAGGTAAAGTATTTTTTCATCATGATACTAGGCAATAATTGAGTATATATGACTAAAGTGCCTCTGTTCTTCCTGCAGAATTTCTTTTTCCAGCTTTAAATAAACCTCTAATTTTAGAATAGTTTTACATTTGCAGAAAAGTTGCAAGGATAGTACAGTGAGTGCCTGTATACTCTTGCTCATCTTTTCTTTTTTCACCTTACATTATTATGGTACATTTGTAAGAACCAATGAGCCTATGATGATACATTATTAATTAAACTTCTTATTTTATTCATATTTCACTAGTTTTTTTCCCTAATGTCTCCCCACCCGAGTCCATCCAGGATACCATACTATATTGACTTGTTGACTTGTCATGTCTTCTTGGTTTATCTGGGTTTTAACAATTTCTTAAACTTTGTTTTTGATGACCTGCCAATTTGGGGTATTAATCAGATATATTGTAGAATGTCCTTCAATTTTGGTTTGCCTGATGTTTTTCTCATTGTTAGACTGGGGTTATATGCTTTAGGGATGAAATCACAAGGTAAAGAACTGTTTCAGCCCTTCATATCAAGGGTACATATCAAGATGACTTATTACTGATAGTGTTTAACCTTGGCTAAGATAGTATTTGCTAGGACTTTCTATTGTAAAGTTATTTTCCCCTCTCTTTCTAAACTGTGCTCTTTGGAAGCAAGTCACTAAACATAACCCACAGGTAAGAAAATGGAGAGTTTTATTACATCTCCTTGAAAAGGGAATATTTACATCAACTATCTAGATTTCATGGAGATTTATTTCTTCTCCCCTGGTCCCTTGCCATTAGTATGGATTTATGGACATTTATTTATACTTTGGGTTATAATGTGATATATTTATTTTCTTGGTCAAATTATTCTAGCCTTGGCCACTGACTTTACATTCATCTTTTATATTTTTTGGCTCAGTCTTGTACTTAGTCATTTCTTCAAGGAGCTCTAGTTCCTTTTATTGGGGAATGATATTAGAAATCAAAATCTGAATGCTGCATCTATCTATAGAATTTTGGTCTGATAGTGTCAGGCCAGTTCCTGGACATCAGGGGATCTGCTTTTCTTGGTCAGAAAGCATCCTTGGCATTTTTTTTTGACTGTCAACTAAATACAAGCAATAATGAAACATGGTTGTTATTGAAACTAATGTAATTTTTATATACTTGGCAGAAAGCATGCAAAATCAGCAGGGGCTGGTCTCCTTACACTCTACATGGATCCTGCTATACCTGGAAATCTTTGTTTAGTTTAGCAAGTTACAGTTTTTATAAATATTAACAAATTGTAGCACTTCAGATGGGACTAGCAACATTCATAAAGTTTGGAAACTGCATTATCAGAATTTAATTAGAAAATGATGAAATTAACTGTATATTAGATCTGAAAAGACATGGAGTAGATATCAGAGATGGTTCCTGTGATATAAAATGGACTCTGGTGCTCCAGGAGGTAGACCAAGGACCAGAGGAATGTAAGTTATTCACCTATTACTTACTGGTTTTCACCAGGAGGCACTAACTACATTTTAACCAAGGAATAAACTCCCTCATTACTGAGTTTTTTGAAGCCATTTTATCCATGTTCACTGAATTCCATAATTTTTATTCTTATTTTTCTTTTAATTTAGTTGATTGGTAAAAGTTTCAGTCTGAAAGCTTATCAAGCACAAATATCTGCACTAAGAAATATTACTGCTCTCTATTAACCTATATTTCTTTAGCAGTTTGGCTACTAGATAATTATGTGCCCTGTTTTACCTCCTCCCTACCTAAAGGGTAAAGTCTACATTGCAGTGGAGAGGTCCATAGATATCAAAGATTATCTTGATGACAGTCCTAATCGATCTGGAGATATCAGGTGTACTATATACAAAAAGTTATATGCAAGCAAGTCATATCAATTTAATTTCTACACCTTGATTATGTTTATGTCACAGTAATTATGCTTCATAATTCGGGAGAAAGTCAATCACTATTATGAAATAAATAAATCTGAACTATTTTTACATTTTGTCTGTGTTCAATATTACTTATATAATATTCTGTTAGCTGATAAATCTTCTGATTGAATCCAAAACTTTACTGAATTTCAGAGTTCCAGGTAAAGCCAACCATTACATTTACCCAATAATTAATTGGTGAGGTTTTGATGACAATAATAAAGGAAATATGGTGTCTACCTTATCCTTGGTGAACTTAGAGAGTCTGGGGGAAGGAGCTTATAGTCTATAAAATGGGGAAGAGATTCACTGTTCTCTGACATGGACACTTTGATTCTAGGTATATCTGAGGCATGCCTAAGCTGTGCCTGGTGCTTTTTGTGTGGGCTCCTCATCATGCATGCCCCTATCCACATCCATTCTTGCATCTCAGTAATTCTCCTTTACATAGAATCTTTTTTCTGAGGGATTTCTGTGCATTCTTATCTCTTTTCAAGGGTGATGATAATTGAAAAAAAAAGAGTCTAGAGAGAACAAAACTCACTGATAAGCTGATATATATTATCTACTCCTGTGGCCACAAGGAACTGGACAGTTAGGACAGGGTGAGAGACCACCAGCCAAAGGTGAACTGGCAACTCATTCTTACCAGAGCAATAATGATCTCCCCTCACAGGTAAGATAATATAAAAACATTCTAAAGGAATGTGAGGTAGGAGAAGACACAGAAGGAAAAGGAGGAGTAAAAAAGAGGCCCACTGCAGTGATAGGGCCTGCTGTTATGTGATCACATAAGTGGAACGTATGCATCTCTTCCCAATTCTGCATTCAACAACATCATGTTAGTAGCTTGACCAACCATGGCTGGTTATAGTAGAGTATTTACTGGCTGGGGCTGTAGTTTAGTGGCAGAGTGCTTCCCTAGCATATGTGAAGCACTGGGTTCAATACTTAGCAATGCATAAAAATAAACAAAATAAAGGCATTCTGTCCATATACAACCACAAAAAATATTTGAAAAAAAGAGTATTTACACCATGCAAGTTGGCAAAACCTACTAATGAGGGCTTTTTCCCCAGGGAAAGCCAGTCATCATAGCTTTACCATTACACTGCCGAGTGTCATATGTACCAAGAATGTAGACTCAAATTCCAGTTACTTTCTTGCTCAAGAAAACAGGTTTTTCTCTCTCCTAGTCCCAGACATGAACTCAACTTTGTGGATTTTTGGCTGGAGGAGTAGTTTAATAGGGATTAAGACAAGAGATGAAAACCTCATAATTGCATTCAGGGACACGGATACTTGGCTCTATGCCCACCATTATGGTATCTACAACTTATTTATTTATAAGATAATTCCACCATCAAAGGAAGGAAAACACTCCCCTCTATCTTTTCCTTTTCCAATACAGAAGAGGAGGACTATTAGACTTTGATTTGCATATTTACAAATTAAGAGTAAAACCGTATGTATTTTTATTTTTATTTTCACTGTTTCATTCACAACTAACATTTGCTTTTTATAACAGGTATAACTTGTGTTACTTTGACCAACGTATTTGTTGCTGCCCAGTATTTCTGTACACTTCTGATAACAGTACCTAAATTCTCCACTCTATCCATATATGTTGATGGTATCGGCCTGCTTCTGGCTCTGCAATAGGCTGTACTCAGATCTGATCAAATTTATAGTAAATTGTTCAAGAGTGGACATGAGACAAATCAAAGGTCCCAGAATGCAGAAGCAGTTGTGGAAAACTATTGAGAAACAGACATACATTCTTCTCCACTGGATACGAACCTGAGAGAATGTAAGAAAGGAGTTGCTAGAAGATAATGCTACAAATACACTGTCAGTCCCTAGATCCAACAAAGCTTGCAGTCTAAATGACTCCCAGATTTGATAGGTAAAGACCCTACATAATTTTTTTTTTGGCTCAACTATTTAGAGTAGTTCACATGCAAGCAAGAGTCCTAGTACGCTATGTTTACAATTTAAGTTAAGAGAATTAGCAGTCTTTCCAAAGAAATTGATAACTTTTCTGATATTATGCTGATGTTTTCAATAAAAATAAATTATATGGCCTTATTTTTATTTATAGAGTGTTTTACTAAATACTATAAATTATATTAAAATATTTATTTAGCATATAAATATACTAAAATATTTATTCTAAAATATTTGCTTTACATTTGTGTATAAAGATATATTTAGCTAAAATTAGAAGTAGAATTTATTTCATAGACTCTTAAGTATGTTAGGAAGGAATACTCTTGTTTTGCCCATTCCCAATTTTAATTGCTTTCATCCTCTGCAATGCTCCTCCTCGAATAGGCAGCTTTTTAAGAGCTAAATCTGTATCAGCCAGAGGTCCTCCCAGTAATCGAACAGGAGTGCTTTCCACTGTTACTACCCCACCAGAGGGCACCTAAAAAAAAGCAAAAGGTAAATATTTAGAGTCTGTTTATAAAGTTTTCAATAAAAGAAAAACCCAGTCATCCTTTGGAAAAGATACAAAATGTAAATATAAGTAATTAGGAGGCAGTATGACATTGTGGAAAAGATAATGGCTTTGGAGCTGGGAAAAGTGGGTTTGAATTCTTCTGTTGCTTATGAGCTTTGTAATTGGTGGCAGATTATGTCCAAATGAGGTCACCAGGAACAGTGGCATATGACATGAATTTACTTGTCAGGCTAAGTAAGTACTGCACATTGCTTGTCAAAAAGATGTAAAGATATACAATGACTAGTTTTGGTAGAAATTTCATAGGAAACTAAGAGGGCTGGATCTGCTCTAAATCAGTACTTGGAGATAAATGAAATGTACCTTAATGGTGTGAATATTTGAACAGCAGGAAAAAAAGATAAAAAAAAAAAAAAAGAAAAAGAAAGATTCCATAGAAATAACATTTTGGGACCCTAAATTTAATATCTATTAAGCAAAAGAAGTGGAGAAAAGTAATCTTACCGTTGTGTTAAGGCCTTTAATAACTGTCCGATGAAGTATTGTGTTTTGTGGTTGCCCTTTGTATTTAGAGGATTCTATAGCCTTTTCCTGAAGCCTTTTTGCTTTCTGAAGATTTTTAAATTAGAAATAAAATGCTATTAATTGCTATTGAAGCATTAACTATGGTAGTTATAATAAGGACAAAAAAGTACATTAAATTCTGTTTAACTCTTTGAATGTTTATTAGGCGGCCCTGGGATTAACATTTACTCATTTAGACCAAGAAGACAGTTACTACTGAGGGTTGAATCCTTTGTGCATTGAAGAAAACACCATGCATCTAAAAAACACTCTGGTTATTTCCAGAGGTACTGGTCATATGTAACCAAGGAATAAAAAAATGTCCTGAGGAACTACGATTTAGTTTGATATAATATAATAAGCTATTATTAAATAGTACAATTTATAACTTACTAAATTTATATTAAGCTATGCACATTTCAAAATATGTTGAATAAATATAACTCAGTATAATTTCAAATATTCAGAATTATATAAATTATATAATTTGTTACAGTTACATTCAAGCTCAATTTAGAGGTACTGAATAGGTGAAATGTGAGGATATAAGGTCACAAATGATCAACAGGAAAGGAGCTTCTTGTCATTAACTCTTCTTAAAAATACAAGCAGGTTTGAGGATATTTTCAAGTAAAGTTTGGAAGAACTGAAAGGGGGATAACCTGGGACTCAGAACTTATTTTTAACTTATGTTTTGCTATCTTACTGTTTCCTGTATTTTCATGGATTAACTAAATATTTACCAATTTCATATCTACAGGAAGAACCAGGACACTAAATATAAGTATATTAAAAACATTAATGAAAAATATAGGAAAAATATAGACATTTTTAAAATGCATGGTGCGTCTCACAAATGTCAAGAGAACAATTAGCAGTATAAAATTTTTAGATTAGTTTCTAGTTAAAGTAGCTGATCATATTTTTTTCCAAAGGGATATTTATCTCAAATTCCCATTTAAACTGTAATATGTTTCTTTTGGTAATCACAGAGGGGAAAAGCTCTTTTCGAAGAGGGTAAATCAGAACAGTTACTTTTTCTGTTCTTCACTCAACTTTTTACGGAAAAGAAATCATCGAATAAGAAGGTTCAGAATGGAAAGTAGAGCACATTTCTTCAGCTCATTCCTGTTTATCTGTGGTTTTACAAAGGCCAGGAACACCACCCTTAATTCCCCCTGCTAATCCAAATGAAACTCAGAGTAGCATCACCTGTAGCTGTGAAAAGGCAGTTTCAAGCTAAAATGCATACAAGCACCTAACAGTGTTGGTATTCTATAGAAAGATAACCAGGAAAAAGTAAATGACTATTCACTTCTGAAAAAATTCTGTTCTTAAGAGTTGGTTATTTGTTGTATACATCATAATACTTAAAAAAAATCCTACCTTTAGTGTTTTAGCATTTGATGTTCTAGCCAGGAAATTTTCCCATGATTTATTAGCTAGGTCTCTTTGCTTGTGTGTAGCTTGTATCTGAAATGAAAAAGGTAAGGGGGTTTCAGTTTCTATGAAAGAATACCAAAGGGCTTGAAAGCATCTATTTGGAAGGAAGCACCTACCCTTTGCTAAAGTAAATTTTAAGGCCCATTAGCAAAAGGATTAGAATATTCATAGTACTTAATTTTAAAAACAAAACTCTTAAAATGAAAAAAAATCTTTTACTCATATATGGCTAAGGTTTGAACCGCTTTCCATGAAATGTAATGCAAAATTGCTTTTTTTTAAAAAAAAAAGAAAAAGAAAAAACAATCAGCAAGATTGATTGTTTTACATGATTGCCATTTGTGAAGATAGATTATAATCCAGAGTAAACTAAATACATGATTTAACAGCAAATTCACAGGGGAAAATAAAGAAATTCCTGCTGGCCACTGATAATTAGTTTAGTTAAAAGTATATTGGTGAAATTACTTTTAATATATGACTGCAACAAGACAAGCAATTTTGCGAGAGCACTGAGTTTGTTGTGTTAATGAAGTATAGGGAAGGAACTACTAACCAACTGCAAAGTATATAGTTCTCAAAAGGCTATTCATTGAACATATAATCAGAGGATACATGTCCTTGGTTGCTATACATTATACTATGAAGATTAAATTATGAGCTGGGCATGGTGGCACATACTTGTAATCCCAGCAAATTAGGAGGCTGAGGTAGGAGGATCACAAGTTCAAAACCAGCCTCAGAATTTAGCAAGGCCCTAAGTAACTTAGTAAGGCCCTGTCTCAAAATAAAAAATAAAAACAGCTGGGGATGTGGATCACTAGTTAAGCACCCCTGGGTTTAATCCCTGGTACAAAAAAAGAAAAAAAGAGATTAAATTATGAACCTAAGAATGGTTAATTAAATAACTGCCAAAAAATGGGATCAGAACTATGATAATAAGTCAATAATAATCAATAAGTCAACAATATTTAGTCAATATAGCAAATATTCTGCTGTTTGAAAGAAGTAATGATAAATAGGTGACATAAATAAATTCCAATTCTGCTACTCCATTTCAGAGAAAATAAATGGGTTAAATGGCAGCATCCATGCAAAAAAGTGAAACAAACAAAAAACTCCCAGCAAACAAAACTTTCAAGCAATTGGTTGTATAAAATGGAATGGAATTTAAAGATGAACCCATACAGAGTCCCTACAGCTGTAGATGTTAACATTTAATAGGCTACATGGAAAGGACAGGCAATAGAAAAACACTTTGGAAATCACCTTAAAAGAGTTTCAAATATTTAATTGTAGCTACAAAGGATCACAAAGAAAAGTGGGGAATCTACATCATCTTTGTATCTGTGAATAATTTAATTAAATAATCACTTACTTGCTCAAAAACACATGATATGTTCAGTTTTTGGAAAAATGGCTATTTTCCTGACAAGTCTTTTCTGATTGAGACAGAGAAAAGTATACCTCAGGATTTACAGCATGAATGCTCATAGCAAGCATTCTGCACTGTAGTGAAGGTGAAGGTGAAGCTGATGGACTGATAAGCTGATAGTTGGCATACCATTAAGGGCCTATCAGAATGAGAGATGGGGCCAACACAAGTTACAGATAAACTATCAGACAGAATTTGTTAAATGTATTCATTTACATAGGCCACAATTTTTGGAACCTTGTTTAGCACTTCAAAAATGAAAGTGTTTCAGATATCTCTTTACCTTTTAAAAATGTACAAATCAAATTATGCTGCCATAAAATGTCATTAAAATAGTAATTGGATTTAAAACTCTTAACTCCATGGTTTCTTTTAAGAAATAACTATGAGGGAAAAAAAGGCTAAAACAGTCACAGTAAGTATATATCCTAGGAATAACTTCCTCTAGTTTATACATTGAAATTAATATGTTGTGCCTCAATGGTATTGTGGCTTACTTTTGCATATACTTTTTGTTCACTTTGTGCATCTTGGCGTGCTTGGCTTTCAATCATCTCATTTTGTAGAGAAACAACCATCTTTCCAATATTTTCTGATGCTGTTGTAATACCTTCCAAAATTTTTTTATCTGCAGTGACAGGTCTTAACTTTTCTAATTTTATTTCTTCATATATTTCATTCCATATTTCCCCAATCTGTTGTAACAAAGTTTATCAGAGTTAAATTAACCAAAAATAAATGATATAATTTTAGGTAACCCTTTATGTGGATGTTCACTCCTATTATGCTAACCCTTAAGCTTTCCCTAACTTACCTCTGGGGAATAAGTTAAGTGTTTTGGGAATGATTTAGGGCACCAGTTAGGTTTGAATATTCAGAAGTAGTTTACCAAATATTTTTCATGATTCAATGTGTTCATGGAATGGGCTGCACCACTTATGGCTTATAATTATTTTGTTTTCACAGCTGCAGAAACTGATGACTTATTCTCATCTATTTAAATTATTATTGCTTTCCTCCCTCCCTGAAACCCTGAACTGAAGGCTAGGTCAAGCTGAACTTGTAGGAACAATCTGGGGACTCCTGGGACGCTAGAGCAGATTCAACTTGAAGAATTGGGCCCTGCCCCTCACCTCCTCACTAAAGCAAAGTATAACTGAATCTTAGACTTTTAATTATATGGCTCCATATGCCCAAAGCTCCATCTCATATTCTGTGTTGTTTAGAAATTAATATGCTTTAATATATTTAAAACTAGAATAAAACTTATGTATCTAAGATAGGGATACAATTCAGTTTTAGTTTTCATTTTAAGATAAGGATTTATTAATTCACAACATTCAATACATAATACTGCTGGGTGCAGTGGTGCACACTTGCAATCCCAGCTACTTAGAAGACTCATGCAGGAGAATCAAAAGTTCAAGATCAGCCTGGGCAAATTAGAGAAACTATGTCTCAAAAATTTATAAAAACAAAATATAATGAAAGCACTGGAATGTAGCTTAGTGCACAAGATGCTGGGTTCATTCACAGTTACCAAAAAACAATGCAAAACCAAGTACGTTAGCATATAGTACTAATAATATTAGTATAAGGCAAATGTTTACTTAATAAGATTTTTTTGAAACTTCAAAAGCGTTTATTGACTGATTAAAATATAACCAGTAAAATAAGCATCCTAATATCTTTTGAGATTTGATCATGATATAAGCTAATAATAAAAGAACACTTTGACAAGCACTAATAATTTAATGGGTAATAACTTATTAATCCTAATGCTCTTCAAAAAGAAGAAATTATATTAGTAAACTTCTGTCAGGCTTTTGAATAGCTCTATGTCAGTAATATCCATCTTCTTTTATAAGCTAATAGTTGGATGAAATTTCATCCCTTGGGTGAAATAACTAATGATATGTTTCAACAGTATCAGATGCAAAACAGGAAATAAAAACAACCCAGCAGAGATGACTGCTCATAGCTATGTACAGATATTTTATTTCCCAATTTATTTTTTGACATAATAAACATACATTTTAATAACAGTTATTAAAACAGTACTTACTTTGAAATCAAGGTATCTATGTATGATACAGAGAGTGACAAAATCTTCAGCAGATAGGCCAGGTAAATTTTCAAAATCTAAACAAAGTTTATAAATAGAAAATTACTTCAGCAGAGCAAGTGACTTCAAGATGCATATATGTGTCATAAAAACAAATGCAAACATTTACTTTTGATTTCCTAAAAAAGTTTTTCCTGTGTCAGTTCCTCCTACAACATGACCTCTGCCAGGTGATCCTAGTCATTAGCAGAGAAATTATTCTTTCTGTTTTGTGGTCAGACAATGATATTTTACTTTCAGAAGCTGAAGAGTGAAGACATCTTCTTTACAAGAAGCAAAGACTTTAAAAAAACAACTTAGATGATTCTGAATGCTAATGTTTAAGCCTAATCATCTAGACTAAGCCCTTAATCCAGGCTACACATTGGAATTGCCTGGGAAACTTTAAAAATTAAAATTTTTAATGCTGGGGGTCCCACATCCAGAAATTCTGATTTATTTGTTCAGTGTTGGAGCCTAGACATTGAGGTAACAATGGAACACGCATGTATTTGTGTTAAAGGGAATTTTGAAAAATGAGTTCCAAAGCAAAATCTATGTGCAGTCACACTCAGTATAACAGAAAGTTTCTTGCAAATTTGAGGAACAGCTTCTTACCTAGTTTGCCCAACACAGCATAAATTTTTGCTCTGATATTCTCTGCAATATCCATAACTGCCACTGATGGGCAGTTGGCGGGCAGTGGCATGATTTTTTGCTCTTCTTGAAAACTAGTAAATAGAGGTTTCTTTGTATCTAATAATTGGAAACCATGAAATATAAAATAGACAAAAACCATTGTAAATAAATACTTAATTGAGACTTTGATCTAACCAACATAAAATATATAAAAATATTATAGTGATTACACTTAGTTACTTTTTTTAAAGCACAATCAGTAATTTCTTCCCTACTCTGTGACAAAACATAAACCTTCTATTTATATTATTTATGTGAAATACATAAACTTTACATAATTCCTTTTTAAAAGTGAAATTTTTATGTAAATAACTTGGAAAATTTTGAGATCCAGAAACTGAATATCAGATTAATGACGATGTAAACAATTTCATTTTTGGTTTCTAATACTTTGTTGTAAATGTAAATTTTATTATATGATGTTATAGATCAAAACTCAAATAACAAAAATGGGTCAAAGATAGAAATCACCAGAAGTGGAAATATTTCCATCTAAAAATAAACAATAGGGGCCTGGGGTCCTGGCTCAGAGCGCTTGCCTAGCTTGTGTGAGGCACTGAATTTGATCCTCAGCACCACATAAAAAAAATAAATAAACAAAATAAAGATATTGTGCCCATGTACAACTAAAAAAATTTTAAAAAAATAAATAAACAATAGGGGCTGGGCAGTGTAGAGTGCTTTCCTATTATGTGTGAGGCACTGGGTTTGATTCTCAGCACCACATAAAAATACATAAAATAAAGGCATTGTGTTCATCTATAACTAAAAATATTAAACAATAAAACAATACTAACAGTTTTGACAAAACTATTGTTAGAATCTAAAAGGATTAAAAGATATAATATAGCATTAGAGAATATAAATGAATTGTAAATTCTGATGCTGTTAACCTCATCATTAAAGTACAGTAATTAAAACTTTGAACATTTATTTTCATTTAGAAAATAATTTCTTCACATAAAAAGTAAATTGTATAAACATTAGTGTACAAAATGCTACAAAGATTGATTTCAGACACTACTTATATCTCCAAATTTTATTGGTAAATGAAATATTACTGGATCTATTTGTAAAATCAGAGAACCCAGGGCTGGGTTTGGGGCTCAGCAGTAGACAGCTCATCTAGCACGTGCAAGGCACTGGGTTCGATCCTCAGCACCACATAAAAATAAATAAATAAAATAAAGGTATTGTGTCCAACTACAACTAAAAAAAAAAGGTATTAAAAAAATCAGAGAGCCTAGATAAGCTTTTTTAGGAAGTAATGTTAAAGAAAATATAGTTAAATACCATTTTTTTGTTTTTTTTTTTACACAATGGATAATTTATTTCTTTAGTTTTTTCCACATGCATTTGATGAACTAATCTTCTTGAAAAAAAGACTGTATGTTATAAATATGAGCAAAAATCAATCTTTTCTATTTTTTTCCTTATGATCTCTTTTATTTTAGAGACTTCCTAATATAAAATGATAAGTTTATTAAATCATGGCAAATTTGAAAACATATACTGAAAGACATGGTTATTTTAGACTTACTGCTGTGGGTATATACGTGACTGCATGACCAATGTAATTCTGCAACCTGTACACTCAGAAAAATGAGAAATTATATCCCATCTGATTCAAATGTATGATATGTCAAGATTATTGTACTGTCATGTGTAACTAAGTAAAACAAATTAAAAAAAACAATAGGTGCATAAATACAATGTGTGTTGATACTTTTAAAAATTCACTTGGCTTTTGGGATTCTCTTTTAAGTATTTTAAAGAACAATTTTAGATATGGAAATAGCATTTTTTAAAAATTCCATAAAAATATGAACCTCCTACTAATTTACTTGCCTTTATTCCAATTATTCAGAATTTAGAATAGCAATTTCTTTAAATACTTGCGAAAAGAACTTTAGAAAGTAAGTCCTCATATTTCATTATATCTTTTAAAGATCCCTTTTAAAAAATATACATCTAATTGCTTCTTCTAACAATTACAAAACACATACCAATGATCTTCCCATTTTTATCTCGTTTTACTCCTAGGTCTTTTTCTTCCTTTCTCCACAATTTAATTAAAAGACTAGCAGCTGTCTGATCCTTCTTCCCTCGCCAAGCATTGACATGAGCCGAAGTTTTGGGATTATCACAAAATTCAACCATTATTCCAAGTATTAGGTTACAAAATTTTTTTTGGTTCAACTGTGGTAAGGAAACAGAAAAGATAAAACATTGCAATAAATATTAAGTATGATTGCCTTAATTAAAAAAGATAAAACACTTTTAAGTTCCTTTTCAACTCAATTTTCTGTTTAGAGATACCTATTTTAATGAGTGTTTTCAAATATTAGAAATTTAAAAAGATAAAAAGAAAAAAAGATTTACTATTATTCTGAAGTAGCCATAATCACATGTGATGGCCAAAAATGTACTAATTTGAACTGGAAAAGGGAGAGTTGCAAAAAATAAGTGAAGATGTTCATTTAAAGTGAAGCAAGGTCAGCAATGACATGGTCCACTGCAATTACAATATCTTTCCATTTTACATGCTTTATTAAGCTTTAAAAAGATTTATTATTAGTGATAATCTCTTTGTTATCAAGAGAACAACTGATGGTAACTAGGTGAAAAATCTGAAAATAAAAAATGTGCTATAACTTTGTATTTTAACAATTGTATCCATAAAAGTGCATTTAAGCATTCAAGAAAATGTTCTTGTTACCAACCATATTTCATAGCAACATTTAGGTTAGAAAATTCAATTAAGACCAATGGCCTCCATACAGTAATTTTCCTATATGACTTTTTTTTGGTACCAGGGATTGAACCCGGGGTGCTTAGCCACTGAACCACAATGTTAGCCCTTTTTGTATTTTATTTAGAGACTGGGTGTCACTGAGTTGCTTAGGGCCTTGCTAAATTGCTGAGGCTGGCTTTGAACTTGTTGATACTCCTGCCTAAGCCTCCCAAACCGCTGGGATTACAGGCGTATGCCACCATGCCTGGCTCCCTATTTTGTGTTGATTAACTTTACAGAATTCTGCTAGCAGAATAGAGCAAAGGAAATATAACTTGTTTTGAGTTTGCAACATAATTAGTTTTCATTTAAAAAAGATAATAATATTAAAAAAAAGATAATAATATTAAAAAAAGATAATAATATTACCTGGAAAGGTTATTATGAGTTATATGAGACTGCTTGGCACTCGATAAGCTCTCAATAATATTTAAACATTATTAGTTATTATTATTACACACTGAATAAATATTTTAGCAGAACTGCATCAAGCAGAACCCTCAACAGCATTCTTTTTTTTTTTTAAATTTCTTATACTTCATTTTCAAGAGAAAGGCAAATGTCAAAGGTTGAAGTTGAAATAAAAATTAAGTAATATTTATAATTTGTAATGAACTTTATTGGTTCAATGCACATTAAATAAAATCTAATAATATTTATTAATAGCAAACAAATAGCAATAATATGTGTCAGGAACTGTTTTAGCCAATGTATTTATGTATATGCATATATGCAGGCACATTCACTAGAATATGCATGGGCACACACATATACACAATATAACTCATTTAAGCCTTCCAATACTGTGCTACCTTCCAATAAGGTAGATTGTTATCCTTATTTTATAGATAAAGACATAAAAATGGAGTTATTAACCAATTTTCTTTCAGGGTCATGAAAGGTCACAAATAATTCTAGCACATTTGTTTTAATCAAAGTAGGTTTATTATACTGCTAATAAAATCTAGAATGATGACAATCATAGATAATGACATGGCTAGAATTCTACATGAGACTCTCCCTCAAAATTTCTCTAAATAGAATTATAATTTTCCTCCTATATCATTTTGACTATGAACCCCATTTAAAATGAATCTAGGATTTAGGTTTATATTCTTCACAGCTGCTTGATGGCTTGATGGTGACTATTTACTAGAAGGAAGGCTTACTATGCTCACTCCTGCTCATCCTGCAAAATGGTGGTTTGTGACACATCAGCCTTCCTCATATCACCTACTAACTACACAGCACTCGGGTTTGATCCCCAGCATTGCAACAAAAGCAACAGCAGCAGCAGCAGCAACAACAACTCTTATCCTTGCTTTTGGGTCTTATTTTCTAATACTATGAAAAAAGCTAGAAGTTATTGATAAATGACTGAATTTTGATAAGAGTCTAGCTTTTTACGTATTGTTTCTCTGCAGGTGGATGGTATGCAAAGAAATAAATTTTCTGCTTATATGTATCTGGGAATACTAATCTAAGTAAACTGATTTCTTAACTGGAGACATTTTCAGAAGCTTTAATATGCTAGTGCTTTATGAATCTACAGGAAGGTTTCTGTTTAAAAACAATGTATTGAATATAATTTGGGGGTATGTTTCTTGACAAAATAGTGTTCTGTGGTATTTGGTTTGGGAAAAAGTCAATAAAAACATATTTAATATTTGTTTTACAATTGTTGTAACCATACTTACTGCCAATACATCCAAAAGGAGAAAAATACCTTCCTTTTCAAGAAAGTAATCTTCTGAAGAATAACATCCCAAAATGCAGCACCTTAAATTAAAAGCAATTCATTTGATAAAAATTTATTATTAAATTCCAATTTGTAGAACTTTCTATCAAAGCATTTTCAAAGAATATTTAATATTTTTATTCATTTCCTAAATCAAATAGTTCATACTTTTACTTAAAAATAGAACTTTGAAGAAACCATACCAGTGCAGTTTAATTTCATCTACTTCTTAAAACCAAAAACAATCATTTCTTCTTTATAACTGCCTATTTCTTTTCTGCAAGTGCAACATTCTCTTTTTTTTTTTCAGATTTGAATTTTTTATTTTTAAAATTTTTTAAAATTTTTATTGTTGGTTGTTCAAAACATTACATAGTTCTTGACATGTCATATTTCACACATTTGATTCAAGTGGGTTATGAACTCCCATTTTTATCCCGTATACAGATTGCAGAATCACATCGGTTACACATCCACTGTTTACATATTGCCATACTAGTGTCTGTTGTATTCTGCTGCCTTTCCTATCCTCTACTATCCCCCCTCCCCTCCCCTCCCCTCCCCTCTTCTCTCTCTACCCCCTCTACTGTCATTCATTTCTCCCCCTTGTTTTTTTTCCCCTTTCCTCTTGTATGTAATTTTGTATAACAATGAGGGTCTCCTTCCATTTCCATGCAATTACCCTTCTCTCTCCCTTTCCCTCCCACCTCTAGTCCCTGTTTAATGGTAATCTTCTTCTCATGCTCTTCCTCCCTACTCTGCTCTTAGTTGCTCTCCTTATATCAAAGAAGACATTTGGCATTTGTTTTTTAGGGATTGGCTAGCTTCACTTAGCATAATCTGCTCTAATGCCATCCATTTCCCTGCAAATTCCATGATTTTGTCATGTTTTAATGCAGAGTAATACTCCATTGTGTATAAATGCCACATTTTTTTTTATCCATTCATCTATTGAAGGGCATCTAGGTTGGTTCCACAGTCTAGCTATTGTGAATTATGCTGCTATGAACATCGATGTAGCAGTGTCCCTGTAGAATGCTCTTTTTAGGTCTTTAGGGAATAGACTGAGAAGGGGAATAGCTGGGTCAAATGGTGGTTCCATTCCCAGCTTTCCAAGAAATCTCCATACTGCTTTCCAAATTGGCCACACCAATTTGCAGTCCCACCAGCAATGTACAAGTGTACCCTTTTCCCCACATGCAACATTCTCTTTTGCCTTCATGAAATGACTCATTCTTAAAGATCTCCTCCAGGGCTACTTTTATAGCTTTCTTCAGTGGGGAATATGGGCTGAATAATCTGCTGGTGCTAGTGGTGGTGGTGGTCAATAGTAACAAAGACTAACCTCCGCTCCTCTCGGGTATTGCAAGCCTGCTGGAATCACCTCCCTGTGTCCCCTTCCTAACTTTGGCCCCCTCTTGAACATAGGGGACCCTGTTTCTACTGCTTATTTCATGATGATGTTTGTTGGGGGTAAGGTAGGGGAGCTGATGCCCCAAATGCCAAGAACTTGACCTCTTCCATTTAAGGAGTAGGTTTTATTTATCACCTCTGGGATGGCCAGACATTTAGCCAGTTAGTTTGTGAGGGTGATTATGAATGAGATAAAAAGTTCAAGTAGCATGAGTTATTAACCAATTTTCTTTCAGGGTCATGGAAGGTCACAAATAATTCTAGCATATTTGTTTTAATCAAAGTAGGTTTATTATACTGCTAATAAAATCAAGAATGGTGACAATCATAGATAATGACATGGCTAGAATTCAGATGTCCCTCCTAATGTGTATCTTTACCAATTAATCAAAGACCTACATAAAATACAAAGTGTGAGCAAATGGGAACTCCTCTGCCTGACTGCTGAGTTGGCACATAAACCCTGAGACTCAAACTAAAAACTTGCTCCTCTTAGGGAGGAGCCAGGGCCTAAGTCAGGGCCTAAGCCTGGCAAACTTTATGACTGGAACCTAGAACGTTGGCTCTCTTGGTCCTCAGGTCTTCAATCACCATTCAGAACTACACACCACCTCTCCTGGGTCTCCAGCTTGCAGACATTCTCCCCCAGCTTGGGACTTTTCAGCTTTCATAATTATGTGAGCCAATTCCTTAAAACAAATCTCTTTTTATATTATTGCTATTGATTCTGTTTCTCTGAACAACTTAGACAATATCAAAAAATACTAACACACTACTGACCACTAGAATAAACAGAGAGGCTAAAAATAGAGGCAAGATAAAGGAATAATGTTGTATAAAAGTGAATCATTCTGCTTTTTTTAGACTAGGCCAATGTGGAGTGGGTTTAAATCAGAAAAACAAGGATTTAATTTTAGATATAAAAGTGGTTTACTGTTTGAGTGATGAATGAGATTACTTTCCAAAAGATATTGGTGTGATTTTTGGACTATCTTAAAGAAAAAAGCATAGCATAAGATATCTGTGTGGTGTGATTTTAAGGAAAGAAAATTGTTGTATATAGCTATAGATTTAATTTTCTTATACTGTGATTCTACCTAACTTGGTTACAGTAATACTTACCAAATGCTGTCCAATGTACTAAAAAGAAGCACATTATAGCCTAATCCACTCTGTATCTTCTTGGGGTCTGTTTTCATTACATGAAGAACTATATCTACTCCTTCAGTTCCAAAAATTTCCTATTTAAGAAATTTGTTAAAAATTATTTCTTGAAATAAAAATACGATCTCTTCCTCCCAACTTCACCCTGTCCCCTAAAATTACTTTTTATCATGTAAATATTGTTAGCAACACTGTTTGGAAAATAGTATATTTAATATGATTAAAAAATTATACTCATTTGTTCTCAGGAATTTAAGACAGATTATTCTAAATTATTTTAAGAGAGGATATTAATCAACATACCAACTTAATATCCCTTTATAATTTTTTTTATTCTCTCCTCTTTTTATAAAAATAAACCATGGGGTGCTCTCCTTGAGAGCTGTCTAGAACTCAGATGAATACTAGATAGTAACAACTATCATGGAAGATTTTAAAATGCTCCCAACAGAAAAATTACTATATAAATAGTAGTTAAATCTTTAATAATGTATATAAAATTACTACCATTTAATAGTTTTCCTTTACCAATTACTTTTCTCATTACCTTGTTCTATTCTATTCATAAGCAAGATTATGAGTCTGTTTATAGAAGAGTATAGACACATGGTATAGGCATAAGAATACAGAAAGTTGCATCAAAGTTTGGAACTAAAATTACATTCACTATTTCTGTTGCCTCTCCCTAAAATCAATCTATCTAAACCTTCATAATTTTTGATTTTTATATTTTTAGTTTCATCTATTGTTATTTAAGTTGTCAAGTTCTAAAACTCAGAATTTACTGTGTAGCTAAAAGAGATCAAAGGAAATCAAGCTCCTATTCTAACTTTTGGTTTGAGGTATGAACCTAATTCAAACCTCCAAATAACATGTATAACAAAACAGTCCGCTGTAGAAAATTGGCAGTTTCTTATAATGATAAAGATACAACATTATGTTTATCAATTTTACTCCTAGGTATTTACTCAAGAAAAATGAAAGAATTATATGCACAAAAAAGACTCATTTAAGACTTTTCATTAAAGCTTTATTCATGATGCCCCAAAGGAAACAACCCAAGTTTCTATCAATAAGGTAATAAATAAAAAGGTTTTGATATATTCATATAATAGGATATTATTCAGTAATAAAAAGAAATGAACTACTGATATATTAAACAATATGTATATATTTCAGAAATATATATGTTATTTCTTTTGGATGATAGAAAGCAGACATAAAAAAGTAAATACTGTGTGATGCCACTCCTATAAAGTTAAAGAATAAATGAAACCAATATATAGGGATATAAATCAGAACACTGGTTGTATGGAGGTGCAAGAAGGGGATGGCTACTAAAGGGATAAGCAATTTTTATAGGGAGATGGGAATATTAAATGTTTGAATTAGAGTATTAGAAATAAACCTAATGAAATATATTTAAAATCTGTATATTATATTGTTTGTAATTAATTATAAAGAAGAATACTAAATTAAACCAAAAGATTAAAAAAAGAAAAACATATATAGTCATTTAAAAGAGTTCATATGATTGGGAGATCTCAACAAAATTTTGATTTATAGGATACATACCTTCCTTTGAATATGGTGTTCACAAAGTCCAGATAAGATAAGTAATATATCAGACTGAATTTCTAAAATAATGGCCTCTTCCTTTTCATTAGTCTTACTTATAATATTTTTAAAGATTCCTGGTATGAAAAAAATTAAAAAATGTAAAGTTATTGCATACCATATTTTCATTTTATTCAGTTACTCTTTGGAAATTCTTTCAAAAATCTTCTTCAGCTAGAGAAACTATTTTAGAAGGGCCTGTTTTCATTGCATAGAAACCTAGAAGCTGTAGACAGAGGGTAATAAATGGACTACTTTGCTCTCAATACAACCAATCAGTAGCCCACCTGCATACATTTCCTATTTATACACATATAAAAGCCCCACACATATATAGAATGTCTGAATACAATCATTAGTCTCACATATATAGAAATTCTAGTACAGAATTAATAGTGTCACTAAAAGATGTCCTAACAACTTGATACTCTGCCCAACACATTTTGTTTAAAAATATGTAGAATTTTAGCTAGACACAATGGTGCACTCCTATAATCCAGCAACTTGGGAGGCTGAGGCACGAGGATCGTGAGTTCCAAAGCCAGCCTCAGCAACTTCGCAAGACCTTAAGCAACTTAGCAAGACACCATCTCAAAATTTTAAAATAAATAAATAAATAAAAGGACTGGGGTTGAGGCTTAGTGGTTGAGCACCTCTGGGCTCAATTCCTGCTACCCAAAAGAAAAAAAGTATGTAGAATTTCATGAGATAGAAATTAATACTTTTACAAATATATGACCAAAATATCAAGATTATAGTTTGCCTCATCTCTTCCTCTTCTCATGGTTTATAGAGCCAATTTTTTAAAAAAACAAACATAGAAGATCTAAGGATGTTTTCTGCTATTTTTTAATATGTAAGTTTTTTTTTAGTTGTAGATGGACCTTTATTTAATTTAGTTATTTTATGTGCTGAGGATCAAACCCAGTCCCTCACAAATGATAGGCAAGTGCTCTACCACTGAGCTATAGCTCCAGCCCTCTATCTGTTATTTCTTGCTGCTTCTCCTCAACTTTAGGTAATAGAATTCTATGTCCTTTAAAAACTCTTCCCACCTAATTAAAACTGAAAAGGACTTTAAAGACCAGACATTAATACTGATAAAATGACATTCAGAATAAAATTTTGCCTCAAAAAGGAATTTCCTTTATGGCTTAAATATTGAACCAAAGTAAATTTTCCTCTGTTAAAGGGATGACTGTCTTTAGTAGGAAGGTATAGAACTATGCTTCCAAAGAAATCATAGCTACTACCATAGATGGCTCCAAGCAGCTATTGTTGGACCTATGAGGATGAATTACAGGTGTGGCCTCAGAACCTATGGAAGATAGCTGAACCTGCTGGAGGGCCAGTGCAGGGACATGCCATGAACATAAGGGCTTAAATTCTGTTATCAGGATATCCTGTAACTGGCTGGCCACAGGTCTGTTTTTCTTTTCTAGATTATCTCATTCTCTTTCCTATTGGAGTGTAGGCCTATAACTTTCCCCATGATTTGTAACACACAGTACATTTATACTGAACTTTTTCCTCATATATAGCTACCCTTCATGTCCCTGCCTTTATTCTCTCCTTATTCTATTCTAAGTCATTCTATTTTGTCCAGACTTTTCTTCCTAAAACGCAGAATTATATATGTAGCCTCATCTGATCAAAATCATTAAATTCTTCCCAGGAAGGATGAAGTTCAAACTCTGTTTTCTACCACTGTAGCTCAATGGTAGAGCACTTTCCAGCTTAGTCCCTGACTATACAAAATACCTTATCTCACAGCATTTGTCTTCACAAAACTTTAGCTCTATTTAAACTATTTCTGAACACATAACTATGCACATTTCAGCACTATGTCTGCCCATGCTATCTCTCTGCTGAAAGACCAACCTTCATTTTAAATCTTGAAACAAACTTTACTCTCATAGGCTCCTATTGAGCCTGCCCAACCTTGAAAACTACCCATTCATCTTAGTTTCTGTGATATTTTCTCTTTATACTACTCATTAGGTACTTAAATTGATAATGCAGGGTAACACATGCTTTTATATTTTGCTTTCATCAGGGACAAGATCCCCAGTGTCCTCATTTATACATGTCTGTAATCCCAGTGTCTACACAGAAAGTATATTTACATAGAAATTGCATTCATAATGCAATTACTTTTTTTTTTGCTATTGGGGATTGAACTGGGTTGCTTTGTTACATACTGAGCCCTTTTTAAATGTGTGTGTGTGTGTGTGTGTGTGTGTGTGTGTGTGTGTATATATATATATATTAATTATATATATATATTTATATATATATAATTTTGAGACATGGTCTTACTAAGTTGGGTAGGACCTCGCTAAATTGCTTTGGCTGGTCTCAAACTTGCAATTCTCCTACCTCAGTCTCCCAGGTCACTTGTATTATTGGCATGCACCACTGTGCCCAGCTTAATTACTATTTTTTGATCATGTTACCACTACAAAGCCCTGTTAGATTAAAAAAGACAAGTTTACTGCCTCCTAGAACTCACAAGCTTCTTTTTAGTTAAAGGGAAAAAGTTCTACTAAGAGAAGAACTCTTGTTATTTGCTTTCTTTTTTCCCTAATCCATTCCTTCAGCTCAGGTAGGATTAAGACTTCTTCCTATATATGCAAAACTGTACTTCCTGTTAGGTTGGGGCCTTAATACTGAAATTTGCACAACAGCATGTACATGGGTGTGATAAAAATAAACTTTCAAATTTGGTCATCTTAGGCAAATTTTTAAAGTAAATATTTTTGCTTAGTCCCTTTTTAGTATATTCCTTTATCATTACTTGCATTATAATTGGAGGGCACCAGTGCTCTCCAGTAATGATGGATATGAAGGTACTTTAATGGGAAGAAGGTTTTGAATAGGCATTTATAATTAATCAACATCCATCAGGGCTATAGTTTGGATCTTGAACGTCTCCCAGAGGTCCATATATTGACGACTTGGTCCCAAGCCTGTGGTGTGACCGATCGGGAGGTGCTGGAACCTTTAGGAGGTAGTGGAACCTTTAGGAGGTGGAGCCTGATGTAATGAAGTTAGGTCACTGGGAGGCCTGCCCTTGAAGTTGATACTGAAACCCTGGCCCCTCCTTTCTCTTCCTAGTCACCAGGAGATGTGCAGCTTCCTCTGCCAAGTGTTCCTACCATAATATATTGCCTCTACAGGCCCAGAAGCAACAGGTCAACTGACAACAACTGAGACCTAAGAAATCATGAGCCATACTCAACCTTTGCTCTTTATAAATTGATTTATCTCAGGTATTTGTCACAGTAAAGGAAAGCTAATTTAGCAGATTATAGTTGTCCATCTATAATTTTGAATGATTGGTTCCAGAATTTGCTGGGATCCTAAAATCCTTGGATGCTTGCATTAAATGTTACAGTATTTGCATAAAACTATGTGTATCTTGCTGCATACTTTAAATCATCTCTAGATTACTTATAATCCCTAATACAATGTAAATGCTATGTTTGGGGAGTAAAGACAGTTGTTGTTTGGGGACTAATGACAAGAAAAAAGTCTGTATATGCTCAATGCAGACATAATTTTTCTTTTTTGAGTAAATTCTGATCAGTGTTTGGTTGAATCCATGAATATAAAGGATCTGGAGGACCAACTGTATATTATTTGGATGAAACAATCACTGCATATGAATTACTGAAACAGCTTTTACTTTTCAAAATCAGGAAAGATAAGGGCTGGAGAACTGCTTATTTTTAAGTAACAAAAGGTAAAACAACTTTGGTTTAGAAGTTTTTAAATTTCACTCTGGGATTACATGTGTATGGTTTTATGGGAAAAGTGACTTAACACTGTTAATTCTGAGTAGAAAATCAAGGATATTCTGATATTTCATTTCAGAAAAGAAACTCATGTATGGATTTTAGCATATACAATATACCAGTGTTTCAGTATGTCAGATACATTGGAAAATGTAATGTTATGCTTCTTTAAAACGGCTCTAAAAGGCTTGGCCAAACATGATGATCTCATTACTAGAAGAATGAAACAACAATGGTCCATTAAAAAAAAGAGAGAGGGGAATCCTAAATGAAATGGTTTCTTAATTGAGGAAACAAATGTTTAAAGGATTAGTGATTACTATGTTTTGTCAAGAAGAAAAATTGATTTATAGCAAAATATAAAACAGAAATCAATAAAATATTCAGGACTTTCTCAGCCATGAAGTCAAGACAAATGTGTAGAAACATTTCAAACTAAACCTCTGGTATTATAAATGACCTACTTTCAGGAGAACAATGCCATTTATATTTTACCTATTAGTTGTTGAATTGTTCCCTTTTCACAAAGATCTGTATTTACAGTCTCATCTTCAAGGTAGACCATGGCTCTCAGGAGTCTTAAACTGTAACGCATCTGGGCAAACTTGTTGCCACGGCCACCTGCACCATGAAAACTGTTGCCTTGACTAATGAAGGGATCTTTGGAGAAAAATTAATAATTTTATTTACATCAAGAAATTTAAAACATAAAACATTTCAAATAAACAATATATTTGATATGTATCTATACCCAAAGGACTTAAAAACAGCATACTACAGGGATACAGGCACATCAATGGTTATAGCAGCACAATTCACAATAGCTAAACTGTGGAACCAACCTAGATGCCCTCCAGGACATGAATGGATTAAAAAATGTGGCATATATACAAAATGGAATATTAGTCAGCAATAAAAGAGAATAAAATAATGGCATTTGCAGGTAAATGGATGCAGTTGGAGAAGATAATGCTAAGTAAAGTTAGCCAATCCCAAAAAAACAAATGGCAAATGTTTTCTCTGATATAAGGTGACTGACTCATAGTGGGGTAGGGAGAGGAAGCATATATAAATTTAAATAGTTGTTAATAGTTTGTCATACTGTCCCTTCTTCCTCTCCTTAAGATACTCCCGAATAGAAATATGTGCTTTAAAATTTTACTCAAATGTATCATGTTGTATGTATCTTTTGCAAGTTTCTTCCATTACTTAATATTATGTTTTTGACATTATTCATACTGTAAAAAGTATATGTAGGGTAATTAATTTTAATTGTGTTCAGCATTCAATTTATAAATGAATCATTTACTAGTTAAAACTGCCATAATGAACATTCTGATTCATGTCCTCTTCTTCCCTCAGAGAACAGCTTCATGTGACAATGGAATCACATGGGGTATATTCATTAAATCTTTTTTTATATTTATTTTTTTAATTTTAGGTGGACACAATATCTTTATTTTTATGTGGTGCTGAGGATCCAACCCAGTGCCTCATGCATGCTAGGTAAGCGCTCTACAACTGAGCCACAACCCCAGCCCATTATTAAATCTTATCTAAATTTCCAAATTTCTTCTTAAAGTTGTTACATAGATTCAATTAATTTTTTTCAAATCTGTAAAATTTAAAATGGTAAGGAATTTTAATCTTAATTTGCATTTCCCAGATTACCAATAAGGTTGAGCATTTTAGATTTTTTTTTTAATTTGAGGTTTTCTGTGACATGGAAGTCCTTATACCTTGAATATGTCTCTAATAAATTATCTTCTTGTTAATATGTAGGAGTTCTTTATGAACCTCCATTTTAATAGTTATAGGGGTAGAAAATATCTTCAAATTGTAGGTTGATATTTTGTACAGACTTTTGTCATTCAGCCATTTTGAAACTTTTATAATTGTCAAAATATCATCCTTTTCCTGTATAGGTTAAGTTCATGAGTCTTTTCAAAGACATCTTTTCCTTTGCTAATACTATCATATTTTCCTATGTTTTTTTCTAAGAGTGCTACAGTCTAACTTTTCATATTTATGTCTTTAATTCATTTTACAATTGTTTTTTTTTTTTTTAACTAAGTACCTCAGGAAATAAATCTACCTGTTTTCTAGTTAAAAAAAAAAAAAAAAAACCTAAGTAAAGGGAGCTAATTTTTACTTTTCCACACTGAGAATCAACTCTCCAGTATCATTCTTCTTTCACTGCTTGGCAATATCATTTCTGAAAATGCCAACTTTCCATATATTCCATTCCTTTAAACTATCCCTAACCCAGTACCACATAATTTTAATTACTATAGCTTTATGATATGTCTTGATAAAAAGCAAGGCAAGTTCTCCCTTCTTTATGCTTTCTTTGAAAGTTTCATTTAGAAATAGCATTATATTTAAAGTTAAAAAAATGTTTAGAATACTGTCCTGAGTATTTTGTGTTGGTTATAAGTGTGGGCTCTGGAGCCTGAGTTAAATTTATTTTGCCACTTAATGTATGGCCAAAAACAAGCAATTTAACTTCTCAGTTCTACCCAAATCAATCACGGATCGTAACAGTAACTACATCTCCTAAGTTTGATGGGAAGACTAAATGAGTTAATAATACTTGTATGGTGTTTAAGGCTCAGCATATAGTAGATCCTCAGTAACTGTTAAATATTTGTCTTCCTCTTATTAGGCAGCATTTTCCCTTTTGCCTTCTGTAAATATCCTTCTGTAAACATAAATAATATGAAGTATAGACAGAAGAATTGTTTGATTTAGTAAAAAATTAATTTAAACAAGACTAATTTTAGTAACCTAGAATATTAGAAACTAGAGAATAAAAAGGCTAATTTTTTATACCTCTCTCATGATATTCATTCTATCTACCTACCTACCTACCTACCTAAGATGGGATCTTGTTATATTGTCTAGGCTGGCCTCAAATTCTTGGGCTCAAATGATCCTCCTACCAAAACTTGGGACTTTGCTGGAACTACAGGTACATACCAAAGCCCCTAATGATTCTTTTTTTTTTTTTTTTTATTGGTTGTTCAAAACATTACAAAGCTCTTGACATATCATATTTCATACATTTGATTCAGGTGGGTTTTGAACTCCCGATTTTGCCCCAAATACAGATTGCAGAATCACATCGGTTACACATCCACATTTTTACATAATGCCCTATTAGTAACTGTTGTATTCTGCTACCTTTCCTATCCTCTACTATCTCCCCTCCCCTCCCCTCCCATCTTCTCTCTCTACCCCATCTACTGTAATTCATTTCTCTCCTTGTTTATTTTCCCATTCCCCTCACAACCTCTTATATATAATTTTGTATAACAATGAGGATCTCCCTCCATTACCATGCAATTTCCCTTTTCTCTCCCTTTCCCTCCCACCTCATGTATCTGTTTAATGTTAATCTTTTCTTCCTGCTCTTCCTCCCTGCTTTGTTTTTAGTTGCTCTCATTATATCAAAGGTTGATACCACTGCAATTGAATCATACCCGTCACTGACTACCGGTCCAGCATACAGCCATACTTGTGGATAGGTCTATGCACCAGTGGGGGGGTGAGGTTCTTTGCCTCACCTCTGTTGGCCCCCAAATTTGGCCTTGGTGCCAGTGGGGGAGTGAGGTTAATGTGGCTTAAGGACCGTGCCTGGTAGGTTGTCCAATTCAACATATGGTTCTTACCCGTCATCGAAAAACTAATGATTCTTGATCTAACAAAAAGGCATCATAAATATTACTTCCAGAGCAAAATACTATTAGAAAAGAAATGGTATCTTCCCAATACACTTTAAAATACATGTACATATTTATTTCTTTTCATGAATTGAAATAAGATACTAACACAAATTGGGGCTTTGCTAATTTGCTAATATGGAATCATTCCTTTGGGCTAAAGATCTAGATTTTAAGCTCCATGAAGTTAAGGATTTTTATTTATTGTAATCATAAATGTATTTTAGCAGCTAAAATACTATCTGGTATCTTAGCAGGCATTCAATAAATATCTCCTGAATGAAAGCATTAAAATATCACCAGGATTTATCTCTTTCTGAAATATAGTTTTGAATATAAAAATTTTAAAAAAATTATATGTATTATTTCTTTTAGGTATGTATCAACTGTCATTATGATTTTTACTAATGTCCAAGTTTGAAATCTCAGGATTTTTCTGAAAATATGTACCTACATATTTTTATTTCTCTTCACTTTAATTAACTTCATTGTTTCTTCTATGAATATGTTGAGAGTACAGGTGAAATATGTAGATTTGATCTTTGACAGGACTCCTGAAGGGCCACTCACCTTCACTGTCACACCATTCTAGAAATGCCAGTACTCGAGCATTTCCCTGGCATGACATGTATTCTTCTATTAATAAAGGAGCCACTGATGACAAAGTGGCAATTGCATGCAGTTGTAACTCTTCATGCTGTGCTGCAGACCATTCAATTATCTTGTGTTTCTCAGGCTTTTTAATATAGGTGAACAAAGCCAAAACAACTTTGCCATCAATTAATAGCTATGAGAAAGGGCAAAAGATAACTTTGTTAGAAGTATAACTCAAATAACATTATTTAATCTAAGAAAATTAAATAAAACATTTCAAATATGATGTTTTATTGATAATTCCAAAATAATCCCTTTCCAAATATCACATCTATGACAGATATTTTAAAAACTCCAAAAATATAACAACAAAAGCCTCAACAGTAACAGCAGTTGATTGGGATCCCCTTTTCTGAGGTATGCACTCTTTAGGTGACAATAATATATGTACTAATATTTTGTCTAGGCTGCTCATATATGTACTTTAGCTCTTGATTCTAATAAAACCATACAAATAGAAAAACATAGGGCATTAATAAACTGTTGACATTTCTTTCCTCATTCCCTTCTTTCAAAGGAAACTTTGTTGTTGTGTTAGGGAGTCGACCCAGGGCCTTGTGCATGCCAAGCAAGTGCTCCACCACTAAATTACACCTCACCTCTCAAAGGAAAGACTTCAGATTCAGTTGTTTAGCATAAATAATTTTTGTCTTAAATAATGACTAGAGCTAATATTTAGTCATAGATACCAGAATTTATGCCAACACCAACATTTTATCAAATCTCAAGTCACAAGCCATACTTAATTGCATGCTTAGTATTTTAAAATTTCATTGAATTTAACGTTTTGTAAAAACAAAATATGCATAGATATTGTAAAATGACAACAAAGTTAATATTATAACTGACTCTACTTAATGCATATTTACAGTTCACAAGACTATAAAAGACTATATGCTAGGCTATATTTAATACTCTATTAATTTGGAATATTCTATTAATTTTTTTTCATAACAATTATGAATTTTCTAAACTCTAATTCATCTGCTTTACAGTTTACATGAAGAGTATGCAAGATTAAGAGTTGAGAAACCAGAGATAACTGTTCTAGCATTATTGTTAGAATTAAGTGGAGAATTTTTTTTGAAATGTATACATTATCATCATTATTACTGGGCTATAAGTATATAACATAAAAAAAATAATTGATTCCATTGCTTACAAAGTGCTTTAAGAACCTCATTATAACCTTTATGCCATTTGATTCTTTTTTCTATAAAATGTTGTTCAATCAACTTGGTTTGTAAACTATAACATAAATTTTGTTTACTGTCTTCATATTATCATTTAACAATGATATAATCCTCTACTATAACAATGAACCATATTTTATGGAATGATTTTCTATTTGACATTTCAGAAAATATATGTAGGTTCTACACACTATATATTTTTGATACAAACAATAAAGTTATAATGATAAAAATATTTTTTTCTGAAAATTTCTAACATCTGTGTGTGTATGTGTATTTGCATATTCCTCAAAGTGACATTAACTAAAAAATGCTGAGGCTCATTTAAGTCCTCATAATACTTCTATGGGGTAGGTGTTATCACTATGCTGAAGCTGGATTTAGAGAAACTAACTCACCTGTTGAAGAACATAATTATTTAATTTCTCTAGGTCCCAGGTAGCTGGGATTCCACCTGACAAAAGCATTAACTTCTATACTATACCACAATTACATCATTAATGATAGAATGAATTCCTATTTCTTTTTCATGAAAAGAAAAAGAGCTTGAAAGAGTTTTAGAATTAAAAGAAAATTTATCTAATGCAGTAACTTAACTAATAGAATTATTAGTAATATATTTTTCTATCACTTTATAGTTTATAAAGCCTTCATCCTAACCTCCCGAGAGCCCCATGAGTAGGACAGAATATTATGATGGTTCTTTTACAGAAGGGGAACTAAATCTCATGAAGTTAAGGTGGGTTTTGCCAAAGGCACTAGCTAGAGGGTGATAAGGCAGAAGTGAAATTCAGTTTCAGTATTTTTTAAATTATATAATCTTGTTACACAGGAAATAAATTGTTAATATAAATTAATGGATAGTAACAAAAACTAAAGATATTAGGCTTGTGTGGTGAAAAGCAGGTTCATAGATTTGATATTGGCATCACAGAGGGTAACGATTTTCTTCAGCATTAAATGATTCTCTGTCATTATGGCCAGAGCCAGACTAGGTTGGATGGGTCTGTATGAAATTCTTTTATTTTATTTCTCTAGTTCAGGAAAACTAAACATAGTAAGTCTCTTAACTTCTAAATTGAGGTACTTGCTATTTATTAATAGATAATTAAAGGAAATGTTTAGAAGCTGAAAATTCAGGCAAGTAAGTTTTTTTTTTTTAACTTTCTATGATAAAGATATAAGTTAAGGATTTTTAAAGACTTTTTTAAAAAAGTTATACTATAAGATGAAATGATTTTTATTAAGTTTCCTATTTTTACTACTCTTTACCTGTACAGTAGGTAAATCTTTACATAAGATCACAATTATGTTGAATAGCAATTTCTTCAACTCAAAATCTTCACAGGAATTAGAAAGCTTAAGGCCTTTTACCAAAGGATTTTGACTTTTAACTGTGAGGGGGAACAAAAGTGAGTAAAATTATATACAAAGATTCATCAAGGCAATTACAAGACGTTTAAAGATTTATGTGTTTTACCTTCATTAAAGGTTGCAAATAGTATCAAATCCCTGGTAAAGCCACATTCCTAATACAAATACACAAAACAAGCAGAAAGATGAATTAATCAGGATGGAAGATAAGATACAGATGCCTATATTTACCTAGTATTTAAATATATTTATCAATTTCTCCTACTGTAATTCATTTGAATTTGTAAGTACTATTAACATTAGGAATGAAAGTAAGAAATTAAAAGAATGTAGCTAGATAGATTTACAATTTACTTAATTTAAACTTGCTTTTGTAGGTTTTAAGTATTTTATGTTATTCTACGAATATTTTACAAGATATAGTTTAAAATTTAGTAAGAACTCAAAACATATTAGGCCTATTTTACTTCTATAATTGTCTATACCTTTGTTATAGTTTGGATATGTGACACCAAAAGCTCATGAGACAATGCAAGGTTTGGAGAAGTGATTGAGCTATAATCTTAACCTAATCAGTGAATTAATCCTTAATAGGATTAACTGAGTGGTAACTGGTTGTAGGTGGGTGTGGCTGGAGGATGTAGTTCATTGGGGGCGTGGCTCTGGGGTATATATTTGAATCTGACCATTGGAGTCTCTCTCTCTGTTCCCTGATCACCACTGAGCTGCTTCCCTCTGCCACACTCTTTCTCCATCTCGAGCCCCAAGTAATGTAGCTGGCCTTCTATTGACTATTAAGACCTTGACTAAGACCTTGAGTATTGACTAAAACCTTGAGCCCTTAAATAAACCTTTCCTCCTTTACAATTGTTCTGGTTAGGTCCTTTAGACACAGCAGTGAAAAAGCTGACTAAAACACTTTATTTGACACAATAAGGGAGGAAAATCCAGTTATTTTAAATAGTTTCTTTCTCTTTTTAAATAATCCTGTCCCAACCACTCTCACTTTCATTATATATATGTAATAAAATTAGTTTTCAACATGGAAAATTAATTTTAACATGAAAAGCCCTGAAGAATGACCAGAATGCAAACATTTCATAGTGAGGGAACTAATTCCTGACAGTGATAACCTAGTTGAACTTCACATATTAGGGAAAGTTTACAGGGCAAACCCTGGGATTTTAAGCTTATAGCTTTATGTTCTTACTACTTTAAGATCCATATGATTTCTTTAAATATGAGGATGCTATTACTCTGATTCATGTTTATGAAACTCACAAGAATGTTTATAAGGACAATGATGAAAACTTACTGATTGACCAGTGTCCTCTAGATAAAGATACTTATCTAGACATTTATCAGATTGCAACCTTAATTATGATGCTCTGTAGGTTCTAAAGTTCCCCAAATCAATACATAAAACAAGCAGAAAGATGAAAAGGGACTGTGTTTGCCCATTTGCACAGTATGAATTCCATAACTCATCTTTTAAAAAATTTTTTTTAGTTGTTGACAGACCTTTACTTTATTTACATATATGCGGTGCTGAGAATCAAACCCAGTGCCTCACACATGCCAGGAAAGTGCACTACTGCTGAACCTCAGCCCCAGTGCCCCTATGTCTCCTCTTTTATATTGGGAACATTTGATGTCTACTGATAAGGGTTGAGGCCTTCAAGCCAATTCCTTGACATAAAATTTACAGATGTGTGAATGTTGTTGACAAAGATTCTATTTCAGAATTTCAACCATTCAATAATTTTTTACATTATAAAATATGGGAGGGGCTGGGATTGTGGCTGGGCGATAGAGCACTCGTCTAGCATGTGTGAGGCCCTGGGTTCGATCCTCAGCACCACATAAAAATATAAATAAAATATTGTGTCCAACTACTTCTAAAAAATAAGTGTTTGAAAAAACAAATAAAATAAAATATGGGGAGGCTCAGTGTCTGGTATGATCAAGTAGTTCCTGACAAATCCTCCTGCAGTTAACAATTATAAACTTTAACAACAATAAAAAGATCTCATAGCCAAGAGCAAACCAACATTGAAAGGAAGTTAGTACTCTGAAGAAGGTAATAGTACTGTGTAAATTTCTACCCATATCCCCTTTTAGATGACTTTTAGCATGAAAGCAGGCCCTATTCTGCACCTGGAGGATTCTCCCATTCAGAATAAACCTGTGGCCTGAGAGAATCAGAAGAAAGAGGCAACCACAGCCACTGAAGGGTGAAAGGAGTGATCAGAGTCAGAGAGGCAGGAACCTCAAATTTTGTGTATAAACTCTTCCCAGATCTTTAGCTCATGCCTGAACCATACAAGTGCAGAGATTTCTTAAGCATCCCACACATAGATAGAAGAGTTGAATTGGGATTTGAACTGTCATTTACCCAGGCTTGCTTGCTAGCACCCTACTCCTGAGCTATTCCTCCAGCCCCTAAAGATATTTTCAGATAAAAGGAAACTAAGAGACTCTGTTGATGGCAGCCAACATATTTGTACCATATGAAATACTAAAGTAAGTTCTTCCAGTGAGAAAGAAATGATGCCGAATAGAAACATATCAGGACAGGAAGGAAAGAAAACATCATAAATGGTAAATCTGTGTACACACCATAAAATATGAGGAAGATTCCCAAGCTCCCAAAGATATGCAAAGGATTGGTAGAGTATAGTGGTGACCATGATAACATTATAACTTGGCACTTCAACAAAATACATAAATATTACAACATGATTCAAGATTCCCTTTCCATATGCCCGCCACTTACACAGTTAAAATTAATGCAATTGACTTATACTTACAATCATTGGTGCTCCAGGGTTTTGAGCTATAATTGTAGTGATCACTAATATATCATTTCTAAGTTGACGATCATAATGACTAAAACCTCTTGTAAACAGATTTTTAAATACTTCTTTCAAAGTCCTAGAAAATAAAGCAATATTTTATTTTATTTTTTTATTTTGAGACTGGGCCTCACTAAGTTGCTGAGGCTGGTCTTGAACTTGCAATTCTCCTGTCTCAGACTCCCAAATTACTGGGAATACAAGATGTGTGCCATTGCACCTGGCTAAAACAATAGTTTTAAAAAAATATTATATGAACTACATGTTTGTGGTCCTCAAAATTCATGTTAAAAATGCTAATCCCCAATATGATGGTAGGAGGAGGTGGTGCCTTTGGGAGGTCATTAGGCCATGAGAGTCAATCCCAGAGTACTCTCTTGCTCTTTCTTCCATGTGAGGAGACAGTCTGTAGTAGTCTGAACCTGGAAGTACATCCTCACCAGATCTTAACCATGCTGACACTCTGAGCTGTGAGAAATAAATTATGGTTGTTTATAAGTGACTCACTCTGTGACAATTTATTACAGTAGCCTGAACAAAAACACATTTTCCAATGGAAATACTATGTTTATAACAAATCTTATTTTCATATCATACTATTAATTTCCAAGTATTTCTAATCTTTCCCACAATTTCCAATCTGCTTCTATTTCTTTGTATACCAGATAAGAATCCACTAATCCAATTTATACAAGGTTGTCAAAGAGACTGCTCTAAAAGATTTAATCATGTCAAGTTAAAACTATTAAAAGTCTTTTAAAAAACCACTTAAAGGCTTCTCTTTGTTCTTAGGCTAAAGTCCTACTCTCCTTAACAAAGCTTATCAGGTCTTTCCTGTTATGTCCCTGGTGACCTTGTTAGCCTCATTCTCATTCCTCACTGTTTTACCCTTTCTTTCTGCTCTTGCCATACTGAATTTCTTTCAGATTTTTTATTTTGCTAAATTCTGTTTTCAGTTCTGTTTACCCACCTAGGATGATCTCTGTATGCATAATTTTTCTGTGTTTGCCAATTTCTATTTATCATTCAGATACTGGATCATGGTTTATTAGAAAGTATTTATTAATTCTTCAAGTCTGGGTCAGGTTCTCTCTCAGTAGACACTTGTTGTTTTGTCTCTTGGAACTCAATTTGAGCTTTTAATAAAGTATACTTATTTTTGTTTAGTCATTAACTCATCCCCAACTTTTGGCTTTGTGATGCTCCCTCAAGCTGCCTTTTAGCCAGTCAGATCATTCCTGATCTCTGGCATCGATAATTCACTCTGGAATGGGCACTGGCCAACATTAAACCAATCAGGGCCAACATTGACTCAATTTGAAGACTTCTTTGAGCTTTTTCATAGCAAGGCTCCTTTTGTGCTTGGTTTGGGGTTGAGATGTTATAAACTTTCACTTCTTAGGTCTCACCATGTGGCGCCTGGGACAAAGTCAATACAATGGAAGATAACTCAGAGAGATAAAGAAGGATCACATCCTGATTCTGCTGAGCTTTGAATAATGTTGCACATGAAACTATTATTAGTAGTAGTACCAGAGATTGAACCAAGGGGTGCTCAACCACTGAGCCACATCCCCAGGCTTTTTTAATATTTTAATTTGAGATAGAGTTTCACTGAGTTCCTTAGGGCTTTACTAAATTGCTGAGACTGTCTTGAACTTGCAATCCAATCCTCCTGCCTCAGCCTCCTGAGCCACTGGCATTACAGGCATGCACCTGGAATGAAACTAGTTTTATCCTTTCATTTTGTAGTTACTTGAGCCCATAAATATCCTATATTGCTTAAGTCAGTTGGTATTTCACCTTCAGATATGCTAATTCACCTTCTTTTAAACGTATATGTACTACCCTGTGATAATCTCTTTCCTAACATTACACTTTTTTTAGTTGCCTATTTACTTGTTCTTCTAGCATAATGTAACTTTTTTTTTTTTTTTTTTAGTATTGAGGATTGAACCCAGAGGCTCTCAACCACTGAGCCATAACCCCAGCAACTTAAAGGCTAACTCACATTTGTTGGCAATTTTTATTGCAGGATCTGAAAGATAGTAAGCATTCTGTAAGAGTGAATATGTGAAATAATTCTAAATGTCTAATATCTCATTTTAATTTTTATATCTGCAAAGGCATAATGTGGCCTTAACAAGCTACTTTAAGAGCCTCCCACATAGAAAAGCATGAAATTTTTATTGTGGAGATTCATTTATACAATTGTACACAAAAAAGTATCTTGAAATACAGCTATTAGAGAAATCAAAAACTTAATTGAATACAGATTCAAAGATGTTAGTCATATCATTGACTATTAAGATTAAACAACATTCCTACTAGCCACGTATACTTACAGCAAACATTCCAAATTACTAAGCTGTTGTATGATTTCTTCTTTTGAAGACTTTTCCAGTAAGTTCCAAAGTATTTCTGAAGAACGAAATAGAAGCTGTCCAGAGGGATCTGGGTCATTGAGGTGAACACAAATTCCACTGGCTGCCTGTGCTTTCATCATTAAAGTACAATTGACTTCTGAAAATAAATTTCAAAAATTACTTATAATGTGAAGTCTTAACATTGTTAGATGGATAAAAAAAAATGACAATGAATCATTCACATTTAATAATACTTTACAAACCAGAAGTTGAAAGATGCTGCAGAACTTTAAGGACCCAAAGTTTCTCAACAAGTTGATTTTCAAGCAAGGTCATTGACTGAACCATTGTTTTTGCCAATCCTCCAACTTCAGCCATTTTAATCTTGTATGATGAACTGGCTTGTTGGTAACCTGACACAATCAGTTAGCAAATATGTATGTTATTTTACATAAGATTCATTAAGACAAATGAACATTTATCATTCAACAATATTAAAAAATAAAAATATTTTAAAATGAATGTATATGGCATTTAAAATTGTATAGCATAGAAATAAAAACTGTATAGCATAGAAATGGGAATTTTTTTCTGTAAAGGATCAGAATGTATGTATTTTAAACTTTTAAAGTTATAAGGTTTCTGTCTCAACTATTTGACTCTAGCATGTTGTAGTAAAAAGACAGCCATGAACAATAAATGTATATGACTGTGTTCCAATAGCATTTTATTGGCAGTAGTCCAGTTTGGGCCTAAGGGCCATATCTTGATAATTTCTAATTTTGCATTTGAAATGAGACACAAATTTTGGAAGCATGTATTAAGTTCTAAAAAGGAATGATATTTTTTATATTTGTCAGTAGATACAACTTTCTGTGAAGGAAAATAGCATGAAAACAAATACTGAATGTTTTCACTAGTAAAATTAAGGCTCATAGACTTGATTCCTATCTCCAGAGCTATTTCTCTTCCAGCAGTTATACTGCAGACTTTCCAGCTGTGGTCTCAGATGCCCAATCATGTTCACCATTCGAAAGCAACTGTGAGATGTTAGTGAAAGTGCCATTCACAACTTCAAACTTTCAGAGTTTTATCAAATTAAACTAAGTTCACTCTGTGTAACTCAACAACTCTGTTTTCACTTGTGCACCATTATCTTCCTTTCTTTAAAGGGTATCTATATTTTGCTAAGGAGAACTCTAAGCTTGTGTCCTAATTTCATCTTCTCATGCTTTCCTTAAGAATTCTGCCTTCCCATTTTCCCACTTACTAGCTTCATTACCCTACAAACTTCATTTCTCCCATCCTAAAAAAATGTAAAACCCAAGTAACTCTTCTTTGACTTTGCTATCAGTTGGGCTGTTCTCCATTAACCTTCTTCCTCTTCACCTTTGGAATTTAAAATATAAGTCTGTATTCATGAACCGCCTCTATTCCCTCATTCTCAAACACACTGCCTCTGTTCTCACAATCCTCTCATTCTTCAATCCTGCAACTGCCTTTGTAAACAGACTTGTCAAATATTAACTATAATTCTTTAGATATCATTTCAATTTAGTCATTCTGTCTTCCATCACAAAGGCCTTGTCAGCATTTGACACTGAAACCACTTGTTTCTTCACCAAACATTCCATTCATTGATACTCAAGACATGGCAGTCTTTAGGTTTTATTCCTTCCAGTTCCCTATCCAATTTCTTTGGTTCATTTTTTCCAAACCTCATTCCAGGCACTCTCAATGATGTCATTCTTGGTCTCTTACTGTTTATATACTTTATATCTCTCCAAACTCAACCACTTTGATGGCTTCCATTTTCATTTCTATTTGGATGAATTCCAAAACTATATTTATGGTCCCTGTGGGTTTTAGTAGCCAATATACCACAAATTTGGTAGCCCATTTGAACTACCAAAGGCTCTTATTTCTACATATATTAAAGAATATGTAACTTAAAAAGTATATTTATATCTTCTCTCCCTGAGTAGATTGACAATAAGTTATACAAGCTATGAAGAAGTATGTCTTAAATAAAATTACATCTGCACAATTCAAGTGTCCTCTGACTTGATACCATCCATTTTAGTGTGGTTCATTTTACCATTATGTATTAAAATCCCTTAGCTGTGACATACATACATATATACTCTTCACAAACATGGTGGAGAATGGGTTGATAGATATTATGATTAATTTAAAAATATGTAAGAGAAAATATTTTTATTAAGGATATTAAGTAATAATTTTATTAGCATTAAGTAAAATTAATGATTATAATAATTATATTAATATAAATAATTATACTTATGGGTATGATTTTACAAACCATATTATAAGTATTTATATAAATTTATTTGTTTATGTAAATGTTTATGTAAATAAATAAACATAAAAATCTTATTCAAACCCCAAAACTGGAAAAAATACATATATAATTTTTAAGATGACAAACGAGGTCAAGACTACAAAAAAGTTATGTTTAAAATGCGTTGCATTTGTGAGCCCACTGTGTCTTTGAAGTTTAGAGAGAAGTAAGAGAATTTTCTGTTTTCTAAAGATACAAGTTATTATTAAAAGATCATTGAAAACTTCACCTGGAATATGCTTCTTTGGTTCTGCATGATAAAAGTCAACGATACACTTACAAATTTGTATCCTCAATTCAGAACTTGGTATTTTCATTAAGTCACCTGCCAGAAGGATAAATGAATTCTATATAATAACATTGTTATATTTTACTTGAAAACTTGAGCATAAAATGTTAATATTACAATTATTTAGATCAGAGATTAAAACTGGATCCTGTAATTTTATACACACAAACACACATGGTCATGCATCACTTGATGATGGGAATATGTTCTGTGAAATGTGTTGTTAGGCAGTTCATTATTATGTGAACATAATAATGTCCTTCCACAAGAATGAGATTAAATCAAGCACAAGAGAAAATGGTGCAATCAGGAGATATGCTAAACATGAGATGTAGGAGGTTGCTACCAGTATAACATAGTATTCTGTGTTACAGCTTTTTTTCTAATAAGTAGAGAGTATACTGTAAATGATAAAAAGATATAGCAACTACACAAACTGTAACAGCAATTTATTATCATCATCAAGCATTATGTACTTTTAATATAACTGTATGGGCTATATGTTTATATAACTGGCAGTATAGTTTTATGTTCCAGTTATCTGGACTGGGGAGGGGGTTCCCTTTAGTCATATCTAAACTACTACTGAATTGGCCTTAGTCCATACAGTAATTCAAACTAGATTGCATTTACTCCATTGAAGTCTTATATGTATGATATCCAAGGGAATATGAAGATAATCTGAGGAACTGTGCTGAAGAGTCATGTGCTCTGGATGCCTGAAGATAACTGGATTCCTTAGTATCAGTTTTAGGATTAAATCAGATCTAGTTGGATACTCTGAGAACAAAAAATTGATAAAGTATCCTTGAGTTTTGGGTTAGGTTTTTCATTAGGTCTTGCATAATATGCATATCTAGAGGTGGTCAGAGGGTGAAAAAAACAAGGAGACAAAAGGAGAGGCACAAAGGAAAGCCTCACCCTTGCTTCAGAATATGTTTGCAAAAATATCACTTTAAAAATGTCAAGATTTTACATTAATTTTATGTTCTGGACCTTTATCTTGGAGTTAGAAAAGTCACTATTGAGGTTTTGAAAATTTGTAGACAAGAGGAACAACAAAACTTTTCCAACAAAACTACCCAAACATGCAACTTTATGGGAAATATTGGTTTTTTTTTCCCCCATCTGTTTCTCCACCTTTTTAGTTCCTGTAAATTTAGATCTTTTCTCACAACTTCCTGTTTTATCATTATTGGGCAGAATACTAGCTTCTTCCCTTATGCATTTCCAGAATCCTGATTCTGAATCACATATATCTATATACCATTTAGAAGAAAATGTAATATAACTTACTAGTCTGTAGTAGAAACTAGAAACTCTTAGTAACAATCATGACTAGCCTCTGTTCAATGCTTTATACAACTTTTTTAGTTTAAACTCATGTTTCTAGCAATTTACAAATAAGGTACAGAAGAGCCGTAGAGTAAATAAACAGTGAAGGAAGTTCATAATTAATGAAGAATTTACACTGCCCTCATATGAAACAGTAATGTGTTCTGTTGGTAGATTGTCATTAAGCAAAGAGTGGGCTGACACAAAGAAATGGGCCATGTATTTATCATATGAATATTTGCCAACACTCTTAGAAGTAATATTTTTAAATAATAAGGACAACAGGAACATTTTAAAAATAATGTTACCAACAAATATCCTATATAATATATGCTTTTATCTGTTAATATTACCATGTCCTCTTTTGGGTTAGATTCCCATCGTAAAATTTGTAAAGTTTCTACTGGTGACAGAGATTCACAGCATAAAAATTTCCCATTATTTCTCAGCCTGACTGCTTCTTAAAGTCCTCTTCAGAGCCTCATGCTAAATGTAATCTCTATGACACTTTTATCTACTTTGCACTAAAGAGGAAGTGAATTCTAGGTAGTTGTCCCAAAGTAACTAGAGATGAAGTCTATGAAACATATTTTGGCATAAAACAAAATAAACAAAAATACTATACTAAAAAACAAAACGTTAAAATAAAACAAAATAACATATCAAAAATAAATATGTGTTTTGCTCATTGCAATTGAATCTCTGAAGTCTTTCTATATGGATAATATAATGCTGAGAATATAACTTCAGCAAAATCCTTTAAAAAATTACTGAGTCAATGGTTTATTTTTTATTTCTTCTTTAGAAATAAAGACCTAAATTAATAAGTACAAACTTAATGTAGGATGTATTTTGGAAACATGTTCTCCTGTCTCAGGGGATGAATCAAAGAGCCAGTATTTTGTTGATCTTATTTCCTAGGAAGTTATTTTCTTTCTCTAGAAAAGTTAAGCAATAATCCAGATATAAATGCCAACTCTTTTATGATTTTCATATTTCTGTGTACAAAATACAACTCTCACATCTATATGTGCATTATTTAAAAGTCTGTAATATTCTACTATTTTATTATTTCATTTAAAATTTTACAGATTAGCAATTCTAGAAATTCAGTATGAATTGAAAATATTTTTGTGATTACTGATAAAAGAGAACATTTTTTTTGTTGTTGTTATGGTTTGGGTATGAGGTATCCCCTAAAAGGTCATGTGTGGGACAATGCAAGAACATTCAGAGGTGAAATGACTGGGTTATAAGAGCCTTAACCCAATCAGTGATTAATCCCCTGATAGGATTAACTGAGAAGTAACCAAAGATGGTTAGGGTATGGCTGAAAAAGGTGGGTCCCTGCATGCATGCCTTGGGGGTACATATTTTATATCTAGTGGGTAGAGTCTCTCTGCTCTCTGATCATCATGTGAGCTATTTCCCTCTACCATACTCTTCTGCCTTGATGTTCAGTCATACCTCAAGCTCTTAGGGATGGAGCCAAAAATCTGACTAAAACACTTTGCTGATTAACAAACAAAGTTTTTAAAAAATCATCAAACTAAATAACACAAAGTCAAATAAGCACAACAAAGTATCCTCCAGGCTTTGCTTTTAAGTAATAGAACATTTTGTTGGTATCATGAAACACCTGAGTAGAAAATAATACCAGAATATAAACAAGCAAGCTATGATTAAATTCCAACTAGAAAATAAGAACCCAGATACAGAGAAGAAACACATTAAGTGAAAGCTAGTCAAAACAGACAGTACCTTTTTTTGTCAGTAGGGACTGTCATATGTTATACCCTTCTAGCTTAGGGAACTTACCCAGAAGAGCAATTGATATTGCAGTATCTTCCGCATAAGTTATTTCATCCGATACTTTCTTTTTCAAAAATGGCAAGCTTCAATAAGAATGAAGAATGTCAGAGTAATTTTTAATGAAGTCTTTGAAGCATCATTTGTAAGGTGTAGAAAATTTCCTTTCTAAAGAATAAAACAAGGATGATATTCTATTCTTACCAATAGGGAATCAACAACTATGAAAAAAAGTTTGTATTTCTAACTAACAAGAAGAAAATAAACTAGGTTTGTAAAAATAAAGGGAGGTGTATGTAAAAGGCACAAGCTAAGAATGTAATTTTGTATCACTGTAACTAAAAACTTAGGATTCTTCTTTCATATGGCAAAATAATAATGAATTATAGCTGTGATTCTATCAAAGTTAGGAAAATCTTGGATAATCTGATACAAACCAGATCTATGCTCAATTAAAACTTAACTATTTAAGGGAGCTTTCTGAAGTCTTTAAAACTCTAGTTACTAGATCAGTGGTCTGTTTGTTTTTAAGGTTAGGGCCTTTTTCTTCATTAGTGAGATTAGTTAGGTACTATCTACAAAAAAAAAAAAATTCTTTTTGGGAACTAAAATTTAGGTTTTAGGTTAACAAACACTAGTCATATTAGAATTGCATTTCACAGGTACTATAACCAAAGTTATCTTAAAATAGCTTATTTACAAATCATCAAATATAAGGCACATGAATTTAGGTCATTAGTCTAAATTTCAAAGGAGAGACAAATCTATTTCTTAAATACAAAATATAAACTATGTTGGCATTTACAAATTCAAAATTATAACCTCTTGTAATATTTAAAATATAATATAAACTACATAAAGGACTTTTCACTCATTTTTTTCAAAAACAATTAGCCAAGTGGTTGAAAAATGGCATTGAGAATTATCATATATCCATATAAAATGCATAGGTCAACATGAATTTTAAGATATTACTATCAGGGCAAGCAATGAAAAGGACAATTTTATAAATCACACAGAGGTTTATTTTGGTTGTTCGTTGGAACTGTCATTTGGAAAAAAAAAAACAAAAACTTTTTACCTGTCATCCAGTTGACTACTGGATCTCAAAAATCAAAGAGCTCTAAAACTAGCATTTATTGCCCTTAAACCTTTTTTTTCCTTTTTCTTCCAAAGGACCTATATGATAAAGCATTAGAATGGTTTTCAACCAAAGAGACTATGAATAAAAATAAGCATGTATAAGCATGTACTTCTGAAGTAATGAGAAAAACATACTACATGCCAAAACAGAAAGACTTAATTTTATTTTTTTCTCAATGTTTTTATCTCACAAAAATATCTTGAAAGGAGATATGTGAATCAAGTCAGAATGAGGTTTGGAAAAACAATAGGACATAAGCAGAAATTAATAAAGTATAAAAATAATAATGTGAATAATACAAAATGAGGGATAATGAAGAGTAAGGTTCAAGAGAACCTATTATGTAATGAAAATTCAGTTACAAGCTTTTAGAGAGAACCAATTTTTGGCATAATTCTATAGGAACATTGATATGGAAAGTAATACTTCTGAACTCTGTATTCTAGGACTTGAAATTTGAAAGTGGTATATATAATATAATCTCATATTAATAAAATAAAAATTTCCAAATAATTCCTTGAAAGCACCAGAACAATCATTTACAAAATATTTTTAATGGTCTCTAGAAGACCCAATAAATGCCACTAGAAAACTTCTAATTAAACTTAAATTCATAAATGAATTCAGCAAAGTAGCATGATATAAAATTAACACCCATAAATCACTTTCATTTCTATACATCAGTGATGAATCAACAGAAGAAAATTAGGAAAACTATCCCATTCACAATAGCCTCAAAGAAAATTAAATATTTGGGAATCAATCTAACAAAAGAGATGAAAGACCTCTACAATGAAAACTACAGAACACTAAATAAAGAAATTAGGGGCTGGGGTTGTGACTCAGAGGTAGAGTGCTCACCTAGCATGAGTGAGGCACTGGGTTCGATCCTCAGCACCACATAAAGTAAAATAAAGACATTGTGTCCACCTATAATTAAAAACAATAAATATTTTTTTAAAAGAAATTAAAGGAGTCCTTAAAAGATGGAAAGATCTCCCATGCTCTTAGATGGGCAGAATCAATAAAATGGCCATACTACCAAAAGCCTATACATCTGTAATGCAATTCCTATTTGAGGTTCCGGTGACATTCTTCATTGAAATATAAAGAGCAGTCATGAAACTTATTTGTAAAAATAAGAGACCCAGAACAGCTAAAGTAATCCTCAGCAAGAAAGGTGAAGCAGGAGGCATCATAATACCAGACCTTAAATTATACTACAGAACTATAATAACAAAAAGGCATGATATTGAACCAAAACAGATATGAAGACCAACTGTACAAAACAGAAGACAAAGACCACCCCTCTGACCCACAGACCCATGCTGGAGCCCAGCCCCAGGCCTTGGACAGCCCTGCTGACCTGTGCTAGAGCCAAGGCCAATATTAGTCCCAGGACCATCTCCTCCCCCACTGACCTGCAGACCCACGACTCCATCTTGGGACACTGCAGCCATCACCACAGCCCTCTCCACACAGTAGCCTCTACCTTGGGACAATAGACAGGGCCTGGAGGCAGCTGCATATGCCTCTAGGTCACCCATTCAGCCATCTCCCGCATTCAGCTTCATCTCTGAAAGTGATTGCATCCACCTTGGGACACTCCTACTGCTATCTTGAGTTATCTCTGCTATTGCTACCACCACTTTAGTTGCAGTAGCATTTATCATGGGTCACTGGCCGGGGTCTAGAAGCCCAACACGAAGGTGAGGTACAGGTAATCTGCAGTGACACTATAAGATAGGGTAGAAACTGTAATACCTCAGATCCTCACTGCAAGAAAGGAAGACACATAGACACCATGAAAAAACAAGGGAGGAAAGTGCCCCAAACAAACCGAGATACTACAACAATAGAACCCATGGACAGTGCAATTGATGAAACATCAAATAAGGAATTAGGAATGTACATAATTAAAATGACCTATGAATTAAAGATTGACCTAAGTGAGCAGATAGAGGCAAAAATTGATCACTCCAACATAGAGATAAGAGAGAAAATGCAGGCAACCATTGATCAGACCAACAAAGAGATAAGGGAGCAAATACAGGGAACCACTGATCACACCAACAAAGAGGTATCAAGAAAAAGATATTCTAAACAAGAACAATCAGAAATCCTTGAAATGAAGGAAACAACAAACAAAATAGAAAACTTAGTAGAAAGCATCACCAACAGACTAGGTCACTTGGAAGATAGAACATCTAATAATAAAGACAAAATATACAATCTTGAAAATAAAGTTGACCACAGTGAAGATGGTAAGAAACCATGAACAGAACATATAAAAATTCTGGGATAATATCAAAAGACCAAATATAAAAGTTATTGGGATAGAGGAAGGCACAGAGATTCAAACCAAAGAAATGCGCAATCTCTTCAATGAAATAATATCTGAATATTTCCCAAATATGAAGAATGAATTGGAAAATCAAATGCCAGAGGCTTACAGGACACCAAATGTACAAAATTATAACAGATCTACACCCACTGACACATTATAATGAAAATACCTAGCAAACAGAATAAGGATAGAATTTTAAAAGCCACAAGAGAAAGGAATCAGATTACAAATAGTGGGAAAACAATTAGGATATCTGCAGATTTTTCAACCCAGACCCTGAAACCTAGAAGATCCTGGAAAAACATATACCAAGCTTTGAAAGAAAATGGATGCCAACCAAGAATCTTATATCCTGCAAAACTAAGCTTTAGATTTGATGATGAAATAAAAACCTTCTAAGATAAACAAAAGTTAAAAAAAATTGCAACTGAAAAGCCTGCACACAGAGCACCCTTAGCAAAATATTCCATGAAGAGGAAATGAATACAACAATGAAAATCAGAAAAGGGAGATATAACACTGAAGGAAAAAAACAATCAAAAGAGAAACCAAGTCAAGTTAAATAACCAAAAATAATAAAAAATGACAGGGAATACAAATCATGTCTCAATAATAACTCTGAATGTTAATGGCTTAAACTCACCAATTAAAAGACATAGACTAGCAGATTGGATTTAAAAAAAATACCCAACAATATGTTGCCTTCAAGAGATTCCTCTGATAGGAAAAGACATCCACAGAACTGAAGGTGAAAGGTTGAGAAAAAACATGCCACTCACATGGACTGCAGAAACAGGTAGGCATTTCCATTCTCATATCAAATAAAGTAGACTTCAAGCCAAAGTTAATCAACAGGGATAAAGAAGAACATTTCATACTGCTTAAGGGAACCATACATCAACAAGACATAACAATTATAAATATATATGCCCCAAACAATGGAGCATCTATGTATATTAAACAAACTCTTCTCAAGTTCAAGAGTCAAATAGACCACAACACAATAATCTTGGGTGACTTTAACATACCTCTTTCACCACCGGATAGATCTTCCAAACAAAAGCTAAATAAAGAAACTATAGAAATCAATAATATAATCTATAACTTAGACTTAACAGACATATATAAATTATTTCATCCATCAACAGTGAATACACTGTCTTCTCAGCAGCACATGGATCTTTCTCTAAAACAAACTATATATCATGCCACAAAGCAACTCTTAGCAAATACAAAAAGTAGAGATACTACCCTACATTCTATCAGAACATAATGGAATAAAATTAGAAATCAATGATAAAATAAAAAATAAAAGCTACTTCAACACTTGGAGACTACATAATATGCTACTGAATGAACAATGGGTTGCAAAAGACATCAAAGAGGAGATTAAAAAATTCTTAGAGGTAAATGAGAACACTGATACAACATATCAAAATCTCTGGGAAACTCTGGGACACACATAAGGAACTACTAAGAGGGAAAGTTCATTGCATGGAGTTTGTTCCTTAAAAGAAGAAAAAGTCAACAAATAAATGACCTAACATTACATCTCAAGATTCTAGAAAAAGAAGAACAAATCAACATCCAAAGCA